GGCGCTAATAGCGCGCTGCCAGCGCTTTTCGCGAGCTGACGTTATATGGTCACGTGACACTAAGGACGGTTCGTGTCATCCGTGAGCTCCTTCATAGCTGCGAATGGAACAGAGTTGCTGATACGTTTGCGTTCAACGCGATGGCAACTCTCTTCCAACCGCACCTATGAAGGAGATCACGTATTACACGAAAGGTCCTTAGTGTCACGTGGCCATATGACGTCAGCTCGCTAAAAGCGCTGGCAGCGCGCTACTAGCGCCCGTGAAACAACGTCCAGATGTTTGAGAGTGTCTAGAATGGCGTTCGTGCAAAACAGACGCTTTTCAATTTTCTCCCATTGACTTATAATGGAGAGGCCGCAAAATTCACCTGACCTTAGGTCACCGATATCAAAATTCAGTTGACAGTTCTGTCAACTGTCGTAACTGTAAGTCGCTTCTCTTTAATTACCTAACAAAACGTGTAGGGGAGCCGGGAGAGTGGGGTAAGACGCCCAGGTGGGGTAAGACGCCTTTTCGATATAACAGTCATGTATTGGGAAAATGCACTTCTGTTCTTAAATGCCTTTTTCGTCTATGGTGGAACGAGGTATGAGTATTGCGGCTCCCATTTCGGGCTCCCTGACACCGCCCTTGACTTTACTCCTCAATACAAGGCCTGGATCCGTCCCTGTCTGGTACAACTGTGGCGGATTTTGGCCAGAGCATAGGTACTCGTATTCCCAATGAGCTCAACTCAGGCGAGCTACGGTTTGGTCTGGCTAGCTCATAGACCCGGGAACAGGGGGGGCAGCGGGGGCGCTTGCCCCCCCCCCCCCAACTTGAGAGCCGAGGGGGCGGCGCCCCCTCAACTTTGAGGCAGCGTGAAAGGATCTTTCCTCCCTTTTCCGGACTTCTTTCCTTCTTGTTTCCTTTATACATCTAAACATCAACACACGGCGTTTTCCTAGCCATCTGAATGGTTTTTGCTGCATACAGCAGTATCGATTTGACAACATCTGCTTTTGTCATCCCGCTTTGGTTTGGGCCTGGCCTTGGCCATAAGTTAGGCAGGCCAGATTTTACATATACTGGATCATTTTGAGTCAACTTTGAGAAATACATAACGTACAACGGTGATAAAATCGTTGCAACAGGTATAACACAGTTTACCCGCTCCGGGACGGTGTGAGGGAGGGGTGTGGGGCAATGAGTATACACCGACGTGGCGCCCTCGGAAGGCCGGTATGGGATCAAAGCTCAGCGACACTAAGGGCCTGTGTGCTGCCTTCGGTTATCGGCAGCACCCTCAGAATCACCGGCGTAGGGCCCTCAGAGCCGCCGGTAAGGGGCCTTTAGAGGCACTGGTGTGGGGCCGCCATGCAGGTGCCGGTGTGGGCGCTCAGAGGTGCTAGTGTGATTCTCTCAGAAGCGCCGGTGAGGGTCCTTACAGGCGTTGCTGTGGGCCCTCATAGACGCTGGTGTGGAGCCGTTAAACACGGGTGTGGGGTCTTTAGAGCTGCTGACGCGAACCCTCTACAAGCCGGCAGGGGGTTCTCACTTCTCAGTGACCGGCAAGGGGCCCTTAGGCCGGCAGAAGAAGTATTGTGGGGCCCTTAGAGACCAGCATGGTACTGTCAGACGCCGGTGGGGCCGTCAGGGCTCAGAGTCACCGGTGTGGGGCCACCAGTGGGTGGTGGAGGATGCGCAGGTGTTGACTGTTGGGTCCTCAGAGCCGCCGATATAGGGCTTTAATAGGCACTGGTGTAGACTGTAAGCATAGACACTCCGAGTTGGGGCCTGGGGGTGTGAAACGCTCAGAGACACCGGTGTGGGCCCTCATAAGCGCCGATGAGGGCCCCACAGTTGCCGTTATGGGGCCCTCAGAAAAATAAGTGTGTGACCATCACATGCGGGAAATGCCCCTAGAACTGGCCCCTCATAGGCCGGTAAGAACTCTCAGAGGCCAGAAACGGGCCTCTGGAGACAACTGAGTGGCCCTTAAAATCTACAAGAGGCCCTCAGAAGCCGGCGTGGGGCCCTTATGGAGATCTTAGTGTGGTTATTTAGGGCCCATGAGGTGCTCTAACGAGCCCTATGGGCCCTTCCGAGTTGAAACATGGCTTTCGTTAACCCTCAGCGGCCAAATGGCGCCGCAGGGCCTCTCGGACCCGAGGGTCCCTTTGAACCCGATGGGGGGTACCTACGTGTCCCCTTAGACCCCTAGCTACGCCACTGCTTCATATGCATCATGTCAGGATTTTAGGCTCGCCCCCCCCCCCCCCCCCAACTTGAAAATCGTTCCCGGGCCCCTGGGCTAGCTGCTGGCTGTACTCCGAACTGGTCCGGCGCGCTATGGCTATTAGGGTGGTCATTTTTTGCAAACTACATGGAATCATTGCTCCAAGCCTCGATTCTGATGTAATTTTTTTCATGGTAATTCCGAATCCGTCGAGAATAATGAAAAATTCTTTTAAAAATTGGCCCCTGAGCGTCCTGGAAGTTTTTGGATGAAGTGAAAATATGAACGTTTCACTGCCTAATCGAAATATGCGTCGTACCTATTTGGGCTAAAAGTTTAAAAGTGAGATATGATCTGTAGGCATTACAATGCCGCTAAAACCAGCAATATAACTGAATTGATTTGGCAACAGCATTCAATAATATCCGCACCCCTTGGGTCAATCTGCCTCTGGACGGCGAGCATCGAACTAATAGTGATATGAGGCCTGCCTGTAGGTGGCAGCACTGCTTTCCAAACTCCGATTCCTTGTAGGTCCTTGTGATATCATTAACACGTTTTATCATCACGTCCTCCTTGCCAAACGATACAATAACCAATAATCTGTTGGTCTGAAAGAAATTTTAAGCATCAGTGTGTCATTTTCCCTACCTAAACAATGTCTAAGATAGTTTTTTGTTCTGACCAAAAGCAAACAATCTGGATGGAACCGCAACGCCCAGCAATGTACGCAACGATTACACAAGGAATCGTTTATGACAGGCTTGTTTCCTTTAGTGTCATTCCCGCACAGAGGACCTGTAAATGTAGCAAGACAGAGGGCCCACTGGAGGGTGTCTGTCTCACTCTGCCGAACAGCGGCAGGGAGCAGAGGAGCAGCGCTGCCGGTTTTTCATCCGTTCCATACAGTGTTCCGTTGTTGCCTAGCGCTTGGCCGATGTGCTAATTACCAATTGCCGGTGAGGCTAGCCGAATATCAGGTGCATCCCCTGTATGACACTTAACGAAACAAGCCTGTCATAAACGATTCCTTGTGTAGTCGTTGCTTACATGGCTGGGCTATTGCCGGTCCATCCAGATTGTTTGCTTTTGGTCAGAAAAAAAACCTTATCTTAGACATTGTTTAGGTAAGGAAAATGACACACTGATGCTTAAAATTTCTTTCAGACCAACAGATTATTGGTTATTGTATCGTTTGGCAAGGAGGACGTGATGATGAAACGGGTTAATGATATCACAAGGACCTACAAAGAATCGGAGTTTGCGAGCAGTGCTGCCGCCTACAGGCAGGCCTCATATCACTATTAGTTCGATGCTCGCCACCAGAGGCAGATCGACCCACGGGGTGCGGATCTTATTGAGTGCTGTTGCCAAATCAACTGAGTTATACTGCTGGTTTTTGCGGCATTGTAACGCCAACAGATCATATTTCACGCAGTAGCGGCGGAACACCTTCAATCAAGGGGGGCACTGCCGACTTTTGGTCCCATTCTTTCCATGCAACGCCCATAGGGCTAATGTTAAAATACAAAATCAAAGGGGGGCACGGTGCCCCGGTGCCCTCCCCGTTCCGCCGCCTATGATTTCACGTTCATATAAACTTTTAGCACAAATACGACGCATATTTCGATTAGGCAGTGAAAGGTCGATATTTTCACTTCATCCAAAAACTTCAAGGACGTTCAGAGGTCAATTTTTACGATTTTTTTCACTTTTATCGACGGATTCGGAATCAGCATGAAAAATGCATCAGAATCGAGGCTTGGAGCAATATGCAAAAAAAAGCCACCCTAATGGCTATGGTGCGGCATCATCCCGGCGTGCTACGGCGAGGCCTGGCAGTGTCTCGTAGCTGCTCTGGCTTACTGTCGCTCAAGTACAGTTGAGATACGGCACGACTGATACGGCTGAAGTCCGGTTCATCATCATCACTCCGTGTATTACTCAATGCAAAAACGATCATGAAAAAGCACCTGAGAATTGGCACAAAAGCACGGTTGTGGTGCGGGCGAGCTCCGGGATCGTGTGTCAGCTCAGCTCCAGTAGAGCCCCAGACCCTGCCCGTACTTCGGCCGGAGCATGAGTGCCGGAGCTAGCCAGAGTAAAACCAGATACGGCCCAGGCCCCAGACCGATTTTGCTGGCTGGAAAACAGCTTAATGCAACATGCGTTGAAGCTGTATTGTCTTAGTGTGCGCAAAATGACCTATAGTAGTCGGCGCGCCCGTAGGCCTCAATCAACAAGAAGCTGCATTGTCATCGCTCATCACCCGATAAAAGGCAAGCAATGTAAATCAGTGGTAGAGACGGCGCAGTTTCGTGGCGTGTAAAATGGATGTCGATTTTACTAGTTCGACCGAACTTCAAGTATATTACTAGTGGCAGTTACGTATACTATAATGATGGTTAAAACAATCAATTTAAAAGAGAGAAGACTGAGGTTAGAGAGCTTCCACTGGTTTCTAGCACCCTTCGGTGGGAGGGGAAGAGAGCAAAGGTCTTAAACGCACACAACCGGCTAGAACGTGCGCACGTAACTGACTAAAACGTTACAGCATCGTCAAACCATTATTCATCCTTGGTGTTCTTGCCCTTACAGACTGCACTTGCGAAGAAGTCGTGTGTAATGGGAAGGGGTCCTACGATGGATTAAGATTACGAATTTCTCGAGAAAAATGCGAGGGAGTTACCACCGTGACCACCACCGCCACAACCACCAACACCACTGGATTAGGTTTCCGCGCGCATTGGGCAGGATTGATCCTCGCATAAGAGAAATGTGCAGAAGAACACATGTATTACACAGTTTGTTCCTTGAGTGAGCAACACATGTACTTTTAACAAGCGTACGCTCACATATAAGGCACGGTGCAACACAAGAAAAGGACTACTCACGGATCGCCGGATCCGTGAGGACTACTCACGGACGACTCATGGATCGACCCGAGAAGCAGGTGACCGGAATGTCACAGATAATGAACGCTGAATGTCACAGATAAATGTCACAGAACCAGACACTCACAGATAATGCGAGGTACAACACGGTACAGCACGGGGTACCAGCACAACTACAATCACCACTGGTTGGGGGTCTCCGTGCGCAGCATAACCTTCGCTCGTTAGCATTGAACGAACATAGAAACGTACAAACAAACGTGAGCAAATGTACGCTCACATATAATACACGATGATCCCGCACCACACAGGTTACCCTGAGAACCGGGCTGATAGCTGCTCTACCAGAAGCTCACGGCTAGTACGGGATACAACACGGGGTGTTGTGGGTCCTAGCTCGACACATTGCCCCAAAAGACGATAAATAACATTTGAAAATACCCATCTCCGATTTAAGTGTTTTCTGGACCAAAATTTTGCGAGGAATCCGATGGGGTGGTCATCGAAATCACCTTCCCCGGCCGAGAAGGAGTTGGGCGGGTGTCGCCTCATAGGGTTTTTCGCGATAACTCAAAACACGCCGGGGGTAGACAGCTGAAGCTTGGCATACCTAACCTTTGGTTTAAGCTGAATCTTGTGACACCAACCGCATTTTCAGGTCAGGTCAGGTCACTAACCTATGACGTCATAATTGAACTTCTGCACGGTTCTCAGATGTTGCAACTTTGCCACGCCCTCAGTGCCAGAGGAACTTTCACAGGGAGATGAAACTTACAGGACGTAGTATCCTCCATAGGTCTCACAACTTGTATATCTCGGATTTTACCCATATGTCACATGAGGTCAGGTCGGTCACGTGACCTCACCATTTATAAGGCAATGGGGAAATATGAAAAACGTTATTTTGGCGCCGGAAATGATCTAGAACTATCCCAAGCACATGGATCGTGGTTTCATGATCGGACCTTGCAAGGAGTGCATGAAACCGTGCATGAAACCACAATTCCATGTGCTTGGGATAGTTTTAGATCATTTCCGGCGCCAAAATAACAGTTTTTATATTTCCCCCATTGACTTACAATGGTGAGGTCACATGACCGACCTGACGCCATGTAACCTTTGGTAAAAATCAGAGATATGCAAGTTGTGAGACCTATGGAGGATATTACGTCCTGTAAGTTTCATCTTCCTATGAAAGTTCCTCTGGCACTGAGGGCGTTGTGAAGTTGCAACATCTGAGGACCGTGCAGAGGTTCACTTATGACGTCATAGGTTAGTGACCTGACCTGACCTGAAAATGCGGTTGGTGTCACAAGAACCAGCTTAAATCAAAGGTTAGGTATGCAAAGTATCAGCTGTCTACCCCGGTGTGTTTTGAGCTATCGCGAAAAGCCCCATGAGGTGGCACCCGCCCAACACCTTCTCGGCCGGCGAGGGTTACTGTACTAGTTCATGTACATGTGTGCGCGGATCTAGTATTTCAGCTAAAATATATCACTAATTCATGTTCGACACATTTTAGTGTCGTTACAAAAATTAACTAATAACATTTTATATTTATTAATTTATTCAATTTATTTGTCTTATATTATGGCATGACAATTTTTCCTAAAAATAGGTGCTATCTCCAAAATACAGTTTTTGAGATTTCGATGACCACACCATCGGATTCCTCGCAAAACTTTGGTCCAGAAAACACTAAAATTGGAGATGGGTATTTTCAAAAGTTATTTACCGTCTTTTCGGGCAATGTGTCGAGCAAGGTAACAGATCATTTGCGAAGGAGGCGTCGCTTGTGAGTTTGAATCATGTTGTATGTGCAAAATTTTAAATCTTTCCATGATCGTCGGTGAAGCCGGGACTCTTTTTTCAGAACCTCAACACACTGGGACATCGTCGGGCATTTTAAATCACGTATGTTGTCTTTCATCCAGAAGGCAACGGCTTCCCTTTCTTCTGGTGTCCATCCGGTTCTCTTAACCGGCTTCTTCTGGGTCGGCCTGTAAATACGAGCTGGAGCTTCCGTGCTCTCGCTGTCCTTCCGTTTCTTTCCCACGCGCTTTGTGCTCTCTGTCTCCTGTCCGTTTGTGTCTCCTGTCCGCTTTGTGTCTCCTCTTTGTGTCTCCTGTCCGCTTTGTGTCTCTGTCTCTTGTCCTTCAACATCTTCCGCTTCTTCACCAAGAGCAGCGTCTTCATCAGATCCCCGATCCCCGCAGCTCATGTTCACTGGGTCAAGATCGTTCAGTTTCTGTCCGGCGAATTCTCCCATGCCTGTTTCCATTGCGATGAGGATTTTGCTCACTTTAGCCGCATATACTGTCCGCTCGGGTAGCCTATAATAAGACCGATGCACCCGAATGTCGTGGCCCATAAAGCGAGCCACGACATCAAGTTCAGTGTCACTTAGCTGTAACAGTTGCAGCATAGTTGCAGCGTGCTTACGGTACGATGTCGCAGAGATGTTCGTCGCACCAGCCTTCTTCGCGAACAGCCGCACACAATCGCTCCCACGCAGCGGGGCAGCATCTCCTTCCACACCACTTGTAAACAGATAGGGGTTGTCACTTGATATACCTGCACGAGATCTGCTGGCGACAAGCAGTTCCATGGTCTCGACCATCTTTGCAGTCAGGAGCATGGGTACGCCGATTCCACGCTTGCCCCTGACGGTGACATGCGTCAGCTCCCGGCAAAGTTCCTGCTCAAGCTTGGACAAGTGCTCGGTTATTTCTTCGTTCACTGAACGACTACGCTTCGCGAACGTTGCTGTGGTCAATCTCGCGGTTTCCCCCGGTCTCCGTCTGTTAAACAGCATCACAGTGGCCAACGTCGCTCGGGCGAGGTTCACGTAGCTCTGAATGGTTGGCGCTTCCTGCAACTGCGCACTTGCCTTTTTGAGCTCGTCTTCCAAGACACCAGACACTCTTTGGACATCCTCCTGAACGGGGAGATTTGAGGGAGCGTTCCATTTCCTTTCTGCCAGCGTGCCCAGAGCGCGGGATGACACCATGATTTTCCACTCCCGGCGGTACAGCTCCAAGAATCGGTCGGCAGCCGTTACACCATCCTCCTCCTCGTTCATGATTGACTCAGACTTCAGAATGCCAGCACACTCGGAAAGAGAAAATCCTATCTTTAATGCCACTGATGGCGTCTGAACTTCTCCATCTCGGAAACCAGCTACACATCGTGTTGCCTCTACAATGTCCTTGAATTTACCGGGCTGTAAATACTCCCGGAGAGTCGCGTTCGGGTCGCCAACTGCTCGCCTCAGCTCGAGCACGAGACGTCCAAGCTCCCGCAGCTTGTTGCGGATGTGTGCGTGTTGGTGCGGCAGATGGCCCATACTGACGTAGAGCCGTTCTCCCAGTTTGAGAATCATTTCATCAGTTTTCACGATATCACCAACTTCATCGTCCCTCATTTTGTCGAGTACCAGCCTCAACGCGGCTCCCCCGCCCTGCGTGGGTGGGAACAGACCCCTACTCTGGGCCTGCACTCTTGTGTAAGGCTCGGTACTGTCTTGGTTGTAACATCTGTGGCGGTACAAGTTTTTGCGGCTAAATAGACCCAAACATTTGCCGCATGGCAGCATGTCTTTGTCACTGACTGTCGTTCCTTTTTCAGGCCTCCTCGCCGGTATCAACGTGCCACGACCTCGTCGAATGACATCAGAGTTGTAGGCAAAATTGCCCTTGTGTGCCAGCTTCTCAAAGTACGCACGTCTCTCTTTCCCTGGCAGAAGCAAGCGCCCGTGTTTCACCTCTCGTTCGTGTTTGTGCCGTCGCAAGAGGTGCCGGGTAAACTTTGTCTGACGTTTGAAACAGAAAGGACAAGCATTTTGTTTCCGCGTCGTTTTCCAATGTTCCACAGATACATGGTCAGCCTCAGACGAGGCATGAGCAGCAGGGATGGATGAGGTGGTTTGACTCCCATCGGCATCAGACGCTGCGCTTTCGAAGGGGTCTTCGTTGGAAACCTCCAAGTCCCCACTGCTGTCGTCGTCCGTCGCGCCGTCTGGGTGGAATGTAGGGTCTGCCACACTGTCATCATCTGAAAAAAAAAAATGTTTTTAGATGGTAGAATACGCATTAACCGAAGATCACTTCATACCCAATTGCATGTCTCACTAAACCGTGAACATGGTTTAGTGAGCATGGTTTAGTGGGATATGGGGACTTGGGCATGAGAACTTGGACATGGGGACATCAACATAGGGAAATGGACATACAGTGATATGGGGCCAGGGACATGCGAACAAGGACATGGGGACAGGGACAAGGGGACAGGGACATGGAGACAGGGACATGGGGACAGGGACATGGGGACAGGGACATGGGGACAGGGACATGAGGACAAGGACATGGAGACAGGGACATGGGGAGGGGACATGGAGACAGGGACATGGGACAAGAGTATGGGAAAAGGATATAGGGCAAGGATATGGGTGCATTAAAGGAACTATCCCACCTTCTAAAATGTTGATAAAACCAGTGAAATTGTGCCCGACTTTATAGATTGGATGACCAGGAACACGGTTCTGGCATTTATTTTTCATTAAACATCTTAGGCTTCCCATATTTCAAACACAAACTTTCAAATATGTGACGTCACAGCCCAAAATTACCTCCTTCCCCAGGCCACATTACTGTCATAAAGCTGATTCTTTTTACACTGTAGGCACAACAACAAAGTTCAGACCAAGTTTTAAGCGATTTTTCAACGAACAAACCCATTTAAATCAGAATGACTAAACGAGGTGACGTCACACTAACGGTCGCTCCATGTTGAAGATAGGGCCTTGTACAAGACCCATTTTCAAATGAAGGGAACGAATTTCTTCAACACCAAGAGGCCGCGGGGGTTGCAACCTAGATAGATAGTGGTTTCTGAACCTCGCCGCAAACTTGGCTATCTCAACTCAAACCCCATGTTAAAGGTGGGATAGTCCCTTTAACGTAGAGACAAGGACAAATGATCAGGGACATGGGAACGGGGATTTGGGGACAGGGATATGCAAGTTTTTTTTTCATCTAAAGTTGAGTTGCAATTATTATCTTTGCTCACCAGAAGCGGCGTCCTGGTCCATGATATCCTCATCGTCAGCAGGAGGTCGGTCACGAGGAGCACGGCTCCGACGCTGGCGTGAGACACCGGTATCCTCAACTCGACCAGACGACGGAACGGCTCCTGAGCGACTGCTGTGCAGCTCTGAAAGAAGATCAAATGTTACGAGTCAAATGACGAACTATCTACACATTCTTTACTACACTTATCGTGCGCTGACAAATATTACTAAATGGCCGAAATTAATATCTATACACGACAAACACGGGTTCATCCGCTCTTTCGCTAAATCAAAATAGCGATATGTGGATAGAGATATGGAGACAGGGACATGGGGACAGAAACATGGGGACAGGGACATGGGGACAGGGACATGGGGACAGGGACAAGGGGACAGGGACATAGAGCCAGGGACATGGAGACAGGGACATATGGACAGGGACATATGGACAGGGACATGGAGACAGGGACATGGGGACAGGGACATGGGGAGGGGGACATGGAGAGGGAGACATGGGGACAGGGACATGGACATGGGGTCAGGGACATGGAGACAGGGAGATGGGGACAGGGACATGGAGACAGGGACATATGGACAGGGACATGGAGACAGGGACGTGGAGAGAAAGGGACATCGGGACAGGGACATGGACATGGGGACAGGGACATGGCGACAGGGACATGGGGACAGGGACATGGAGACAGGGACATGCGGACAAGAGTATGGGGGAAAGGATATGGGACAGGGATACATTAACGTAGGGACAAGAACAAATGATCGGGGACATGGGAACGGGGATTTGGGGACAGGGATATGCAATAGTTTTTTCATCTGGTGTTAAGTTGCAATTATTATCTTTGCTCACCAGAAGCGGGGTCCTGGTCCATGATATCCTCATCGTCAGCAGGAGGTCGGTCACGAGGAGCACGGCTCCGACGCTGGCGTGAGACACCGGCATCCTCAACTCGACCAGACGGCGGAACGGCTCCTGAGCGACTGCTGTGTAGCTCTGAAAGAAGATCAAATGTTACGAGTCAAATGACGAACTATCTACACATTCTTTACTACACATATCGTGCGCTGACAAATATTACTAAATGGCCGAAATTAATATCTATACACGGCAAACACGGGTTCATCCGCTCTTTCGCTAAATCAAAATAGCGATATGTGGATAGAGATATGGAGACAGGGACATGGGGACAGGGACATGGGGACAGGGACATGGGGACAGGGACATGGGGACAGGGACATGGGGACAGGGACATGGGGACAGGGACATGGGGACAGGGACATGGGGACAGGGACATGAGGACAAGGACATGGAGACAGGGACATGGGGAGGGGACATGGAGACAGGGACATGGGGACAGGGACATGGGGAGGGGGACATGGGGAGGGGGACATGGGCAGGGACATGGGGACAGGGACATGGGGAGAGGGACATGGAGACAGGGACATGGAGACAGGGACATGGGGACAGGGACATGGGGACAGGGACATGGGGACAGGGACATGGAGACAGGGACATGGGGACAGGGACATGGGGAGGGGACATGGAGACAGGGACATGGGGACAGGGACATGGGGAGGGGGACATGGGGAGGGGGACATGGACAGGGACATGGGGACATGGACATGGGGAGGGGACATGGAGACAGGGACATGGGGACAGGGACATGGGGACAGGGACATGGGGACAGAGACATGGGGACAGGGACATGGGGACGGGGACATGGGACAAGAATATGGGAAAAGGATATAGGGCAGGGATATGGGTGCATTAATGTAGGGATAAGGATAAATGATCAGGGACATGAGAACGGGGATTAGGGGACAGGGATATGCAATAGTTTTTCATCTGGAGTTGAGTTGCAATTATTATCTTTGCTCACCAGAAGCGGCGTCCTGGTCCATGATATCCTCATCGTCAGCAGGAGATCGGTCACGAGGAGCACGGCTCCGACGCTGGCGTGAGACACCGGCATCCTTAACTCGACCAGACGACGGAACGGCTCCTGAGCGACTGCCTTGCAGCTCTGAAAGAAGATCAAATGTTACGAGTCAAATGACGAACTATCTACACATTCTTTACTACACCTATCGTGCGCTGACAAATATTACTAAATGGCCGAAATTAATATCTATACACGACAAACACGGGTTCATCCGCTCTTTCGCTAAATCAAAATAGCGATATGTGGATAGAGATATGGAGACAGGGACATGGGGACAGGGACATGGGGAGAGGGACATGGGGAGGGGGACATGGAGAGGGGGACATGGAGACAGGGACATATGGACAGGGACATGGGGACAGGGACATGGGGACAGGGACAAGGGGACAGGGACATGGAGACAGGGACATGGGGACAGGGACATGGGGACAGGGACAAGGGGACAGGGACATGGAGCCAGGGACATGGAGACAGGGACATATGGACAGGGACATGGAGACAGGGACATGGAGGCAGGGACATGGGGACAGGGACATGGAGACAGGGACATAGGGACAGGGACATGGGACAAGAGTATGGGAAAAGGATAATTATAGGGCAGGGGATATGGGTGCATTAACATAAGGACAAGGACAAATGATCAGGGACATGGGAACGGGGATTTGAGGACAGGGATATGCAATAGTTTTTCATCTGCAATTGAGTTGCAATTATTATCTTTGCTCACCAGAAGCGGCGTCCTGGTCCATGATATCCTCATCGTCAGCAGGAGATCGGTCACGAGGAGCACGGCTCCGACGCCGGCGTGAGACACCGGCATCCTCAACTCGACCAGACGACGGAGCGGCTCCTGAGCGACTGCTGTGCAGCTCTGAAAGAAGATCAAATGTTACGAGTCAAATGACGAACTATCTACACATTCTTTACTACACCTATCTTGCGCTGACAAATATTACTAAATGGCCGAAATTAATATCTATACACGACAAACACGGGTTCATCCGCTCTTTCGCTAAATCAAAATAGCGATATGTGGATAGAGATATGGAGACAGGGACATGGGGACAGGGACTTGGAGACAGGGACATGGGGACAGGGACATGGAGATAGAGATATGGAGACAGGGACATGGAGACAGGGACATGGGGACAGGGACATGGGGAGGGGACATGGGGACAGGGTCATAGAGACAGGGACATGGAGACAGGGACATGGGGAGGGGATATGGAGACAGGGACATGGGGACAGGGACATGGGGACAGGGACAAGGGGACAGGGACATGGAGACAGGGACATGGGGACAGGGACATGGGGACAGGGACATGGGGACAGGGACATGGGACAAGAGTATGGGGAAAAGGATATAGGGCAGGGATATGGGTGCATTAATGTAGGGATAAGGATAAATGATCAGGGACATGAGAACGGGGATTTGGGGACAGGGATATGCAAAATTTTTTATCTGTGATTGAGTTGCAATTATCAACTTTGCTCACCAGAAGCGGCGTCCTGGTCCATGATATCCTCATCGTCAGCAGGAGATCGGTCACGAGGAGCACGGCTCCGACGCCGGCGTGAGACACCGGCATCCTCAACTCGACCAGACGACGGAGCGGCTCCTGAGCGACTGCTGTGCAGCTCTGAAAGAAGATCAAATGTTACGAGTCAAACGACGAACTATCTACACATTCTTTACTACACCTATCGTGCGCTGACAAATATTACTAAATGGCCGAAATTAATATCTATACACGACAAACACGGGTTCATCCGCTCTTTCGCTACATCAAAACAGCGATATGTGGATAAAGATATGGAGACAGGGACATGGAGACAGGGAAATGGGGACAGGGACATGGAGACAGGGACAAGGGGACAGGGACATAGAGCCAGGGACATGGAGACAGGGACATATGGACAGGGACATATGGGGACAGGGACATGGAGACAGGGACATGGGGACAGGGACATGGGGACAGGGATATGGAGACAGGGACATGGGGACAGGGACATGGAGACAGGGACATGGGGACAGGGACATGGGACAAGAGTATGGGAAAAGGATAATTATAGGGCAGGGGATATGGGTGCATTAACATAAGGACAAGGACAAATGATCAGGGACATGGGAACGGGGATTTGAGGACAGGGATATGCAATAGTTTTTCATCTGTAATTGAGTTGCAATTATCTTTGCTCACCAGAAGCGGCGTCCTGGTCCATGATATCCTCATCGTCAGCAGGAGATCGGTCACGAGGAGCACGGCTCCGACGCTGGCGTGAGACACCGGCATCCTTAACTCGACCAGACGACGGAACGGCTCCTGAGCGACTGCTGTGCAGCTCTGAAAGAAGATCAAATGTTACGAGTCAAATGACGAACTATCTACACATTCTTTACTACACCTATCGTGCGCTGACAAATATTACTAAATGGCCGAAATTAATATCTATACACGACAAACACGGGTTCATCCGCTCTTTCGCTACATCAAAATAGCAATATGAGGATAGAGATATGGAGACAGGGACATGGAGACAGGGACATGGGGACAGGGACATGGGGACAGGGACATGGGGACAGGGACAAGGGGAGGGGGACATGGGAACAGGGACATGGGGAGGGGGACATGGAGAGGGAGACATGGGGACAGGGACATGGGGACAGGGACATGGAGACAGGGACATGGAGACAGGGACATGGGGACAGGGACATGGGGACAGGGACATGGGGACAGGGACATATGGACAGGGACATGGGGACAGGGACATGGGGACAGGGACAAGGGGACAGGGACATGGAGACAGGGACATGGGGACAGGGACATGGGGACAGGGACAAGGGGACAGGGACATGGAGCCAGGGACATGGAGACAGGGACATATGGACAGGGACATGGAGACAGGGACATGGAGGCAGGGACATGGGGACAGGGACATGGAGACAGGGACATGGGGACAGGGACATGGGACAAGAGTATGGGAAAAGGATAATTATAGGGCAGGGGATATGGGTGCATTAACATAAGGACAAGGACAAATGATCAGGGACATGGGAACGGGGATTTGAGGACAGGGATATGCAATAGTTTTTCATCTGCAATTGAGTTGCAATTATTATCTTTGCTCACCAGAAGCGGCGTCCTGGTCAATGATATCCTCATCGTCAGCAGGAGATCGGTCACGAGGAGCACGGCTCCGACGCCGGCGTGAGACACCGGCATCCTCAACTCGACCAGACGACGGAGCGGCTCCTGAGCGACTGCTGTGCAGCTCTGAAAGAAGATCAAATGTTACGAGTCAAATGACGAACTATCTACACATTCTTTACTACACCTATCTTGCGCTGACAAATATTACTAAATGGCCGAAATTAATATCTATACACGACAAACACGGGTTCATCCGCTCTTTCGCTAAATCAAAATAGCGATATGTGGATAGAGATATGGAGACAGGGACATGGGGACAGGGACTTGGAGACAGGGACATGGGGACAGGGACATGGAGATAGAGATATGGAGACAGGGACATGGAGACAGGGACATGGGGACAGGGACATGGGGAGGGGACATGGGGACAGGGTCATAGAGACAGGGACATGGAGACAGGGACATGGGACAAGAGTATGGGAAAAGGATATAGGGCAGGGGATATGGGTGCATTAACATAAGGACAAGGACAAATGATCAGGGACATGGGAACGGGGATTTGAGGACAGGGATATGCAATATTTTTTCATCTGTAATTGAGTTGCAATTATTATCTTTGCTCACCAGAAGCGGCATCCTGGTCCATGATATCCTCATCGTCAGCAGGAGATCGGTCACGAGGAGCACGGCTCCGACGCTGGCGTGAGACACCGGCATCCTCAACTCGACCAGACGACGGAACGGCTCCTGAGCGACTGCTGTGCAGCTCTGAAGGAAGATCAAATGTTACGAGTCAAATGACGAACTATCTACACATTCTTTACTACACCTATCGTGCGCTGACAAATATTACTAAATGGCCGAAATTAATATCTATACACGACAAACACGGGTTCATCCGCTCTTTCGCTAAATCAAAATAGCGATATGTGGATAGATATATGGAGACAGGGACATGGGGACAGGGACATGGGGAGAGGGACATGGGGAGGGGGACATGGAGACAGGGACATATGGACAGGGACATGGAGACAGGGACATGGGGACAGGGACATGGGGAGGGGGACATGGGGAGGGGGACATGGAGAGGGGGACATGGGGACAGGGACATGGGGACAGGGACTTGGAGATAGAGATATGGAGACAGGGACATGGAGACAGGGACATATGGACAGGGACATGGAGACAGGGACATGGAGATAGAGATATGGAGACAGGGACATGGAGACAGGGACATGGAGACAGGGACATGGGGAGGGGACATGGCGACAGGGACATGGGGACAGGGACATGGGGACAGGGACATATGGACAGGGACATGGGGAGGGGACATGGAGACAGGGACATGGCGACAGGGACATGGAGACAGGGACATGGGGACAGGGACATGGGACAAGAGTATGGGAAAAGGATATAGGGCAGGGATATGGGTGCATTATTGTAGGGATAAGGATAAATGATCAGGGACATGAGAACGGGGATTTGGGGACAGGGATATGCAAAAATTTTTATCTGTGATTGAGTTGCAATTATTAACTTTGCTCACCAGAAGCAGCGTCCTGGTCCATGATATCCTCATCGTCAGCAGGAGATCGGTCACGAGGAGCACGGCTCCGACGCTGGCGTGAGACACCGGCATCCTCAACTCGACCAGACGACGGAACGGCTCCTGAGCGACTGCTGTGCAGCTCTGAAAGAAGATCAAATGTTACGAGTCAAATGACGAACTATCTACACATTCTTTACTACACATATGGTGCGCTGACAAATATTACTAAAAGGCCGAAATTAATATCTATACACGACAAACACGGGTTCATCCGCTCTTTCGCTACATCAAAACAGCGATATGTGGATAAAGATATGGAGACAGGGACATGGAGACAGGGACATATGGACAGGGACATGGAGACAGGGACATGGAGACAGGGACATATGGACAGGGACATATGGACAGGGACATGGAGACAGGGACATGGGGACAGGGACATGGAGACAGGGACATGGAGACAGGGACATGGGGAGAGGGACATGGGGAGGGGGACAGGGACATGGAGACAGGGACATATGGACAGGGACATGGGGACAGGGACATGGGGACAGGGACATGGGGACAGGGACATGGGGACAGGGACATGGGGACAGGGACATGGAGACAGGGACATGGGGAGGGGGACATGGAGACAGGGACATGGAGACAGGGACATGGGGACAGGGACGTGGAGAGAAAGGGACATCGGGACAGGGACATGGACAAGGGGACAGGGACATGGCGACAGGGAGATGGGGACAGGGACATGGAGACAGGGACATGGGGACAAGAGTATGGGGGAAAGGATATGGGACAGGGATACATTAACGTAGGGACAAGAACAAATGATCGGGGACATGGGAACGGGGATTTGGGGACAGGGATATGCAATAGTTTTTTCATCTGGTGTTAAGTTGCAATTATTATCTTTGCTCACCAGAAGCGGCGTCCTGGTCCATGATATCCTCATCGTCAGCAGGAGGTCGGTCACGAGGAGCACGGCTCCGACGCTGGCGTGAGACACCGGCATCCTCAACTCGACCAGACGACGGAACGGCTCCTGAGCGACTGCTGTGCAGCTCTGAAAGAAGATCAAATGTTACGAGTTAAACTATCTACACCTTTTTTACTACACACATCGTGCGCTATCGAATATTACTAAAAACTGATGCATACCGATTTCAAAAACCAACACAAAAACCCTGTCCTGTCGGAAACAAACGCCAAAGACTTCAGATCACTGAAGCAATGCAGGCTAATCAGAATCAAGTGTCCTCCTATCAACACACAGCTGAGGAGCATGACGGAATCCTCACGCTATTTTTTCATAAAAATTTGATCCGAATGGTTGAATGGGCGGATTTGAAGAATCAGCAGTCAGCAGCAAAACTGTCTATATTTGGGATGTCTGTACCTACCTATTATCAATAGCGAAGAATCACGTCCGATGACATATATTATCATATATACTTTGAAATAAATTTAGTCCGAATGGTTGAATGGGCGGATTTGAGGAATCAGATCCCTCATCAAGCATAGCTTCTTATGCTGACCCTGACCCCACCACCCAATCGCGCAATTCCAGCTGTATGATAGAATTTTATTCGAGCGTTTAACGTGCCCTCACGACTGGACACGATTGCATTATATTGCATTACTCCGCTCACTGACGTTACCTGGCTTCTGTGCGGCCCCTGCCACAGACACGCACGCCATTAAACGGAAGAGCTAAATGTGGCCGCCTACACCGGGGTTTGAGCCAGGCTCTCACCACCGACTTAGCGTCGAACTCCGGCGCTCTTATCCACTCGGCCACGGAAGGGACAAGTGGATCCCTTTTGATTGTGATTTGCTATGAGATCCCTTTGGACTGTGTAGCTGTACTGAGATAGTATGTGAGAGGGTCCAGGTGTAGTCTGTACGATTTTATAGTGAGATTTCTGTAGCACGAATTTTATCTCTGAATTTACCAATGTCATCTGTTTTAGTGAAATAATTGTATCATCATATAATAACTGTTAGAACACAACTCTATATACTTGCCTGAGATGGCATCTTCGTTGTTGCCTTCGTCACTAGAAAATCTTCCAAGTGGCTGGCCATCCCTTGAGCTTTGACGTGGCTCGCGTCTGGGAACAGGTTTTACCACTTGTACGAAGCTGGACATTCTCGAGCTGATTGAGGCGATGCTCCATCTCGAGCCATCTGAGGGGGAATACGATACTATCAATTTATCAAGTTTGATGAAATGCGCAAGCATGAGAACGAGTAAAACAACGAATAAATTAGGAAGGAGATAGGTTAATAGGGTTAAATAACAAATAGGTTTATATGGTTACCGGGAAAACTGTATCGGTAAACGCAATTCCGTGAAACAATAGGTACATCAATTTCATCAAAAGCTGCAAATATTGCATTATTATCTATCGGGACTGCCCCACCATAACATAAGAATGGAGTTGAGATAGTCAAGTACAGGGTGTCCCAAAATTAATGTCACACCCTCTCACAGTCTTGATTTTTCCTGCCACGGCGAAATTGGAATATAATTTCGCCGATACTAGCTCTCAAACCGCATTGGTTATCTCCTAATCACATGACCTTCGACTTTTGTGACCCTGACCGGTTAGGAGGTCAACAGAAGCTGTTCTTGGGGAAGTACCCGACGCGCGCGTACAAGGTGTCTTAAGATGGCAAAGCAGCAGGGCATATCGACTCGCAGCCGGGACATAGGCATTGTTGCCGGCGGCATGACCCACGGCCGTCGCCGAAGCACTGGGCGAGAGTCGCTGCACGACTTGGCGCTGGTTGTCACAACACATTAGAGGCGGACAGACGCTTGAGAACAAACCGGGTCGCGGCAGAAACAGTTCCGTCAGCCGCTAAGGTCGCTATATGATGCTGTATATGTTTACCTCCCAAGGGCTTATTTTACTTTAAAAAGATATTGTGGATTCGACACGCTGTAGCCTTCTATAAAAAACCGTTACGGCTGTACGGCTCTTTACCTTGCGAACTTCCAGCTTCGCTGTCGTCACCCTGCGTTGGGTTTCCTTGCTCAGGCAACAGCGACACAAAACTCGGCATTCGCAAGAGCCGGTTCGGACTTGAACATCTTGAAGTATTGTCTGTGGTAGGTGGCACTGAAAAAGATCGCCAGTGAGCGTAACGTAACAAATGTAACAAAACAAGCCAATGTTTAACGCACTGAACTTCATCATTGGTCCTGTGCGTCGCCAGGGCCCTCTACGTCACCAGGGCCCCTTTATACCACCTTTGGTTCTATGAGTCACCATGAACCCTATGTATCGCCACTCGCCAGGGTCCCTCTGTGTCGTCAGGGCCCTCTGCGTCGTTAGGAGCCCTCTGCGTCGTCAGAGACCCTTTGCGTCAACAGAACCTCTGCAGACCCTCTGCGCCGTCATTGGCGATGAAGAGGGCCTCTGGAAACACAGAGACCCCTGGAAATGCGGAGGGCCCCTAGCGACACAGAGGGCCCTAGTGATACAGAGGTTTGTGTTAAGTGTTCCCGTTGAGCTATTGGCGGACCCTACCACCCGTTGGGGGGGGGGGGGTATCGACTATCGGCCCCCCCCCTCAGATCTCGGAAAGTTACTGTATCAGGTTGTGATAAACAGCTATGAGATTTGGGACGAGACTGTATTTACTGAATGGATCATAAGTGAGATTATTTTAGTATCACGAGCTATTTCGTGTTTCACACTATTTCGTGAGGCTCCGCCCGGAGGGCGGGTCCACGATACAGTTACCAACAGATTTTGAAAATTCAAACGGCGTTCGGTACCACCACCAGGGAACTACCTCGTGACAAAGTTTTGTTGACCTTAGTGCAACTGATGACGTCACATGTCAAGTCAAAAGTCGCATTTTTCACCGAGTACGGACCTTCTACAGACATGTGCAATTGCATGGATCCGAGAAAATGGATCTGGGATCTGATCCCACGGATCCTGATCTCGGATCCAACGGGATAATAGATCTAGCTCTTAAATTAATTGACAGATCCATACGGATCATAGATCCGGTTATATTTTTCTTGAGATCCAGTGAGATCACAGATCCTCATTTAATTTTTGACAACACACAAATCCCCCAAAATCACTTGTTCCAACTCACAAACGTTCTGTTTTAGTGATTTTATGAGATTGAACGTCATAATATTGTTTTGTCGCACTTATTGACATACAAAAACTTGGAAACCTGGTTTCAAATGTTTTGCATGGCGGGACTTAGATCACTTAGATCATAGATCCACATTCTTGGTTTATCGTCAGATCCTATGATTTCATGCACCCAGGGTACATTTTCACGCCGGATCCGGTGGGATCATAGATCCTAACCTGCAGTTTGCTTCGAGATCCACTGTGATCATAGATCCATCACTCGGATCCATGCACATGTCTGCGTTATAACATCGAATAAAAGGCATATTATTGAAAATCATCGGTGCAGCGTTGGTCGCCCAATACATATGCTGCTTATGAGGTCACTGATGCCAGGTCAGGTCACTGAGGTCAAGTCACAAAGAGTCACAATATAGATTCAACTATACTAGGGTCGTGTGACACATGTTTTATGGCCAATTTTACATTTCAAATAAATGGTGTGAGTTACACGACCATTATGGCCTGGCCGGTCCGGAGTGAGAGCTGGGCCGCGCTTCGAGTAGGAGTGCTGGCTGATGTAGTGATGGTGCGCACATTGTGACTGCGACTGTCCCAAGCAAGGACACAATTTGCTGGCTTTTTCGCTATCCGCAATACACTTTAGGGTAGGGCGAAATCGGGCTATCTGTCCTCCGTCCTCGACCACGTTCAGTAAAAAGGGCATCATCCCGTTAGAAATAGACAAGAACAAAAGACCTTATCATCAGTACCTCTAGAAGAGTCGCTTCCACAGTCGTCCTGCTGATAGGAAGAAGATTCAGCCGGGCGTGCTGAACACTTTGCATGTTCAGACAGTAGGCGCTGCAGGTCCTGCGAATGAGAATGCAAATGAGTGTGGGCTTAAGGAAAATGTTGTTCACGTAACATTCGACATATGCAGTCAACTAGTTAGTTTTTTTTTTTAGTATGCCCCTCAATGTAAACGTCTCTTTGAACACAGCACGAGAATTGCTAGCTGAATTACTGAGAAAACTGGTTAGCGCACATTGTATTGTAGTCACGAATAATATTTTCAAAATAAGTTTTGAACACCGACGATTTAACGTTATGTTAACCCGCGCCCCACTGGGGTCTGCGTATAACATGCCCTACTGGGGGGGGGGGGGCTCTTCATAGCCCCCCTCCTAACTCCGAAACTACTGGGCCGATCGTCAAAATTCAAACGGCGTCTGATAGCCCCGGAAAAACTGTCGAGCGAAACCTAATTTCATTGACCTCGAGGTCACCGATGACGTCACAGGTCAGGTTATAGTAAAAATTATAAGCATTTTGGCTTGTTCACATTTTGGGCTCTGGCCGCCGTCTTACAAGTCAGATCAGGCTCATTTTTGGTTTACACAATCGTAAACAGATGCTCTAGATACCCTGAGGGTACCAAACTTGTACTTTGATTTTCAGGTCAGGGTCAGGTCATCACAGTTCACGGAAATATCATATCATGCGTCGGTCACGTGACACATGTTTTATGGTCCACTTAGGCCATATATTTCGAATTTGATGTCGTCAGTGTCATTCGAGGTCATTTTGAGTCGAATATAGCTTAGGTCAGGTCACTTTCAGGTCAAAAAAGGTCAAATTTTGAAGTTAAAATTTTTCAACAAAAAAGGCGTCTATTGGATGCGGTTTGAGCTCAAGAACACAATGGTGCTATTTAAATTGTTGTACGATGTCAAATGCGTACTGAAACATTGATTTGAAAAATTAATAATTGTGATTTTTTGCAATAATGCGTATAACTTGGCCATTTTTAAAGATATTTAGCTAAAACTTGGTAGTTAGTGATAAGCATGCATCCTATCACATATATTCCGATTTTTTCGAAAAGTCAAAAAAAAATTGAGAAAGTATAAAAATATAAATTTTGAACTTAATGATATAAAATTTTCAAAATTTTCGAAATTTTGACAATCCGAGAAAGCAGTTTGATAGCGCAGTCTGTTCTGAGTCCTTTCATGCAAAGAAATTGGATCTTAAAAATTTAGCTCTTGGGGGCGATTGCCGTGGTTCAATGTTTTGCGTCGAAATCGGCCGAACATGACGTCACTCTGACGTCATTTCCGGCCAACCTATGGTAGCTACGAGGTTCATATTTTGACACAAGGTGTCAAATTGATGCAGCCGAAGGTACTGAAAGTTTGGAGTCGATACGTCAAGCCGTTTGGAAGTTATTGCAGAAAAACGGGAGGGGGCTATGAATAGCCCCCCCCCCCCCAGTGGGGCGCGGGTTAATCGCCATGCAATTAGTTCAGACATAATTCCTGAGAAGTCGTCTATCCCTGTAGGTATTGGCAAATACGAGCTACGAGTCTGTGAAATAGTAAATAATTTTGATGAAATTGATCGTCTGTGAAATCTGGTCAAATCAATGTGCGCCAACCAGTTTTCTCAGTAATTCAGCTAGCAATTATCGTGCTGTGTTAAAAAAAAAACGTTTACAGTGAGGGGCAAACTTAAAAAAACGAACTATAGGAAAATGCAAGAACAGCTAGAAAAGCATTAAAAACTGTGGATCATGAAAAAAGATTAGGAAACACAATTTATAAATTGACATCAGTCTTGCCAGTAAACCCTTGCTAAACCCACGTCAACAGGAAAAAGAGATTCATGCAGGTACCTGAGTGAGCTGAGAAGATGGATTATAGCGGGCTGAAAAGGAATGAATGAACATGGATTAGGCATGGTAAGGAAGAAACTCATCCGGAATAAACATGTATGTAGAGGCAAAAAGCGGAGCGAAAACAGCACAGGACATTTTATAATTATAGCAAACACAAAAAATTCAATTTGCAAAAAAAAATCAAATATATATATCATATTGCCACGTGTGGCTGGCAGCGTATCGCTGAAACGCCGCCTCTATTTCTTAAATGTAATCCTCGTGAAACTCCTATCATTTACTTACACTGACGATAGAGCGCAGACAGTAAGGTAGCTTTGCGGATTTTGCTGATTGGGTACCATATCGGGGTTCTGAAATAAGGGAAAGAAGATATTTTCAAACATCATTTGCTACACGTAGAAGTTCGTAATTTCATGATATAACCAGATATATTAAAACCAACACTAAAACCTGAAACATACAAAAACCAAAACTTCCAATATAATGCAATGAAATGGCATGAAACTCTGAGACACTTAGCAAAAATCATATCGCAGAGAAGTGTTCAGAGCTTAGAACAAGAAGCAATACTATAAAAGTAATGTTAACCCTCGCCCGTACAGGGGTGGGGGGTCGAACGGTCCCTCCCCCCCCCCAGTTTTTCGCGAATACCTCGCGTAAAAAGCAGCTGATCGCGACGAAACTTTCAGTAGCCTCCAGTCAAACAATTTTACACCTACTCTGAAAATTTCATGACCCTGAACCAAATGACCTTTGACCTGTGACCTACTTTTTGAGGCCATGTTTGGTCGGAATCTCGCATTAGCCGCGCGTTTGCAGTTTCCGTGGTTTCAACTTTCAAGCGTTGAAACATGTGATATGATATTGGTCCCATCCATTAGGGTGGGTGTCAAGGTCACCTCGGAGTCAGGTCAGGACATTGACTTTTGATGACCTCGGTTCACTTTTTCGAGTTTTACATGTATCTAGGCTAGTTTTTGGAGCTGAATTCGAATTTGGCAAGCATTTGAACATTTAAGTAGTTTTGGTGCCTTCGTAACATGTTACGAAGCTGTCAAAGGCGGTTGACACCTACTACGCATACCCGGCAGGACCCCTACTGGATGACCTGACCTGACCTGATCCGACCTGGCCTTAAATGCATGAAGACATCTCTGCGATCAAAACTAACATGATATTCGTGATCAGCACTCGAAAAAACCATAGCAGCCACACTTAGCGCCATTCTAACAGGTCCTGATTTTCCCGACTTTTGGGTCATTGACCTGACCTGGAAGGTCAACTGATGAGCTAGGACCTTAAAATTGGGAAGCATCGGCTTCCCCTCGTCACGGGCAGCACGCTCGTTTTTCCGCGAAGCTCTAGCTCGATTAGGGACCAAACGGCAAGTGGGGGTCCAACGGACACCACCCCCCCCCCCTTTATACGGTCGCGGCTGGAAAAACACGAATACGGGCGAGGGTTGATAAAAACTGCTTGTCTTACCTGAGTGAACCGATACCGACCCGGGCCTGCTTGCGTTGGAAATCTATCTGAAAGATTTCTCTGGGCTGGTCCATGACAGCAAGCACCTACAATGCAACAAGATAGGTAGGTAACCCAACAGTGTTCAGGTGAAAAATTCATCATATTAGAAAACAAGTAAGACAGGGAACAAATGATCCTTAATCTTCTAATGCAGAGTGATACCTATCAATAGTTGCCAGGCTATTTAATTCATAAAACACTCATGAATTGTCCTGTCAGACTGTGACAATTTGTGAGCACCAAGGCGAAGGGTCCATCTCCATTGACATGCTCCGATAGGTAGTTTCAACTTCTTGAAAGATCGCGACTCCAGACTGCCAGGGCGGTGTTTCACGGCCCCGCGCTACAGCGCGCTACGCGTAGCGGTGTATTGGGTTTCCATGGAAACATAAACAAACTCGAACGCTCGCAACGCTGCAGGGTCGCGGCGCAGGGGCGTAACCACCTTGGCGGACAGTGCGGAAAGTCCGTACCATTTTTATGGGCGCCCCCCCCCCCCGTCTGTCATTTTCTAAGTACCTATATATTTGCCGCAAACGGTGCACCACCTCTGAGAAACGTTACACAAACGGCTCTCTCTCTCTCTCTCTCTCTCTCTCTCTCTCTCTCTCTCTCTCTCTCTCTCGCTACCCACGCGCCCCTTTAATCGGTTGGAGGCGCCCCTATAAGCTTCACAGGCTTTCACATGTAGGCACCCCTCTTACTCACCCCATTCCCTCAGGCAATGGCGCCCCCTTGAGGGATGGCGCCCCCTTTAAGTTTGTCCGCACCATTTTTTTTTTAGAGTGGTTACGCCCCTGTCGCGGCGATTTCGTCGCAAACGCCAATAACCAAACACTGCACCAACATTGTAGCGCAGTGTAGCGCGCTGTAGCGCGTGCCAAGAAACACCGCCCAGTTGTCAGTTGCTGCAAGCAAGCAGCAAAAAAATAAAATGGCTTGAGAGTATGCTGTGCAGAGGAAGATATACCTATCCATTTTTTTTTTTTTTTGGTGAAATGGTATAACTTCTGTCCTGGTCCACCATGTTACTATTGAGTCAAAGTTCATCTTTTTGCATCGACAGACGTGCAACGGCGACGTGGGTGTCATGCGCTGTTATTACACCGCAAACAGTGGCGCAGTTAAGGGGGGCAGTAGCGGCGGAACACCTTCAATTAAGGGGGGGGGGCACTGCCGACTTTTGGTCCCATTCTTTCCATGCAACGCCCATAGGGCTAATGTTAAAATGCCAAAATCAAAGGGGGCACGGTGCCCCGGTGCCCTCCCCGTTCCGCCGCCTATGGGAGGGGGGTTATAAAGGGGTGAGATCTCACCCCCGTCTCTTATCCTATAGGGGCCCGCCGTCGATTCGAACTGTAACGTTATGCAGGCTGACAATTTATTTACCCCCCTCCAAAAAAATCAGGTCAGGTTTCAGAAGACCCATCATAGGACTGAAAAACAGTTTTGAGGCCTGATAGTCCCCCTTTAGGATTTATAGTCCAATTATATGTTGAAGAGGGTACATCCAAGGCCCGAATAAACCAATCCAAAGCATGAGAGAGCCTGCTCCAGGGCACAAGAGGGTCCATCACAAGAATGAAAAGGCCCATTCCATGTCTGAGGGGCCAATCTACGGCCCATCAAGGCATGTAAGAGCTCACTCCAGGTCAGATAAAGCCCCTCCCAGACCTGAAAGGTCCCACCACAGACATGGTCCCCGGACTCCCATGCATGCCTGAAGGGCCAATCTCAGGGCTAAATGGCATCCCATCTCAGGCCTGAGAAGATCCATCCAAGGCCTGAATGGGCCCATTACAGGCCTGAGGACCATTTTAGACCTCAGGGGTCCATGTCAGGCCTGAGAGGGCCCAGTTCAGGCGTGAGAGGACCCATTTCAGGCCTGAAAGGGCCCATTTTAAACCCAGTGATAGACAGTTTAAAGCATACCTATATAATCCATTATTAAATTTTTGGAGGCCCAATCTGTCAGAGTCCCTTCCATTGGCTATGTCACCCTCACTCCCAGCACTCTGGCTGCACCGGCGCCACTGACCACAAATTACGTTAAACACCGCAAAAGTTGGGAACTGCCCTTGTAAACAGGTACCTAATACCTATACACTGTCACCTGACATTAAATGCAACTCAGTTAAACTCTGGTGACCAATACTTATCATATTTTATATTTTGGTACAAAACATACATTTATTAGTAACACAAAAACATATTTATTACACTGAAAATTATCTTCCATGTACCTACAAGGACCCTGTTCAAAGCCAAAAGCTGGGCTTTTGCCCCCAAACCCAAAAGGCTTGTTCATTATGCGTAAAAGCAAATCTTGTCACCAACTCCAAAAGTGACTTATCACTAAAGTTAGCTCAAAAAAGCAATGTCACAAGTCCAAAAATTATTTGTCGCTGAGCCCACAAGCTCCTTTTGTTCCTAAAATCCAAAACTATTTTCCACTAGGACCAAAAGCAAATTTTGACCCGAAACCCAAAACCGACTTGTCGCTAAACCAAAAAGCGACATTTGCTTAAAGTCAAAAATATTTTTTGCTAAGCCGAAAAGCTGAAAAATCCAAAAGCCATTTTCCGCTATGCCGCTAGAAAATCTGACTCTAGATCCAAAAGCGAGTTGTTGCTTAACTCAACATCGACATTTATCTAAATTAAAAAAAATATGTATATTTGTTGCAAGTAAAAAAGCTGCTTCAGTCGCCAAAATCCAAAAGCGACTTTTTGCTATGCTCAAAAGCAAATTTTAACCCTAACCCCAAAATTGAGCTGTCGCTAACCCCAACGACATTTGCTCAAAGTTAAAAAATAATTTATCGCCAAGCCCAAAAGCTGCTTCAAAGTTCAAAATATAAAATCCAAAAGCGACTTTTCACTAGGCGTAAAAGCAAAGTTCAATTTTGTCCTTGTCACTAAGCCCAAGTGGCTTGCTGATGGGTCAAGAACTGACTTTAAGCCCAAAACCTTGCGAGCCCAAAAAAGCGAGTTTGTGCTATATCAAACACCAAGTATTTTACCTATTCAAGCACTGGAGGGAGCTCCAGTAGGTATCAAACAAACCAATAGGTACATCAAATCAAGTTTGATGAAGCATCCCAATCTCGATAGGACAGATCTACCAGGCCATCCTATTGCCTCATCCAATCCCATTTATCAGTATCAGATATCAGTTGGGGAAACTACGAGGAGCCAAACAAAAATTGGATTAGCCAATCAACGGCTGGAGTGGGCGGGGCGATGACCATATATGGTCATAAAATCAGCGATACCGCAAGTACCGGCTTGTTATACCTTTTTTCACCCTTAGTAGCGGGGGCCGCATTCATGCCCATATATGGTCATCAAAAGTCCATTTATTGACCAATCAATTTCTTGACTTTCGCCTCGTAGTTTCCCCAACTGATATGGTATTGGTAGAGCAGATGTCACACAAAGGTTTTCCAACCAAGGAAAGGCGCTATACTTAGAGATGCTTCTTTCTAACAAAACCATAAACAAACTTAGCCTAACCTGACCTAGCCTTACCTACAACCTACAAATCTACAGTGCCTCTCCTTGGTTGGAAAACCTTTGTGACGTCTGCTCTACAAAACTAACAGGCTCTATACCTGGATACCACAAAAGACAATACGAAAGATTGCACCAGGATTCCACAAATTACAAATATGCAACAGCACTTTGATTTATTTTTTTTATTGCAGTCATTCTTACCTACAAGTTACGAGCCATTCTTATTTCGTTTTACTATTGTATTATAATTTTCTTATAACATTCATAAACCACCTTTGTAAATAGGTACACCCAAAGAAATATTTT